TTTTTTTTTTTTTTTTTTTTTTTTTTTTGTCTTTTTCCGTGTCCGGCAACGGATCGCAACCCTCAGTGTCGCCCCCGTACCGGACCGCGACCGGCAACGGGATCGCAACCCTCGGCGCTGCTCCCGCGCCTCGCTCAGCCAGTGAGCGGGAACCGGTCTGTATGTGGGATCCGAACCCTTGGCAGGAGCGCCGCCGCACTTCCCAAGCAGCGCACTATCGCAGTGCGCCACCAGGCCGGCCCCAAAAGCAATCATTTTTTTAAAAAGTTTACCTACACGCTTGGATCCAGTGCTGATATCCAAAACAAACCTCCAAATATGTACATATGACTTTGGCTTACTCTATTTATTTATTTATTTATTTTTCCTTTTTGTCTTTTTTCGTGACTGGTAACGGGATCGCAACTCTCAGTGTCGCACCCGTACCGCGACCGGCAGCGGGATCGCAACCCTTTGTGTCGCGCCCGCACCGCGCTCAACCAGTGAGCGGACAGGTCTCTATATGGGATCCGAACCTTCGGCGGGAGCGCCACCGCACTCCCAAGCGCCGCACTCTACCGAGTGCGCCACCGGGCCGGCCCCTATTTATTTATTTTTTTTATTAAAATTCAAAGAGTTCAATAAAACAGGAGCTTCACCCAATTTATTTCATGGGATCTTGCTCACTGTGGAACTTTAGGTCAAAAAACTTCTCTAGTAAAGTTAAGTAATTAGGAAAGTGTTATCATTTTGTTTTTGCCATAGTTTGATCAGCCACAGAGATACTGTTATAGGGCAAATAACCTTTTTATTTCATTTATTCACTTGAAACTGACACTCTGTGTTGACAAACCATTTAAGTACAATATAATAAAAATGCAGGTTAAAACTGAGGCATGATATTTGAGGAAGGAAATAGTTTTTTACTACTTCTGAGCTTTAAACATGTGAAGAGGAAACTTCTAGATCTTTGTATTAAGACAATGGATTCCTTCTTTTCCTAGATAAGACAAGCATAAAGTGTTACTGAGGAAAGGCAAAACTGTAGAATAAAGAGAAATAAAAAGGTAAAAATAAAGTTGCCTTAAAAAGGGGGAAATCAAGTGACCTAAAAATGCACAAAATGAGATATTCTACATAATGGCATGACTGAGAGAGAGAATGATCAGCCTCCCAGTTGTCTGCAAAAGAACTGAGGTAAATTAAGATATATTAAATGAGGGATGTCTAGATTTCTCTATGACTCAAAGAGGAGAACTGGATACTTACTATTTATATTAGGTCCTGCTATCATTCCAACAAAAAAGGGAGAATGATTTTTGGCACTAACTGACAAAAGATGGCTTTTAAAAATAGTGTAATCTTTTGTATCCCATGAATATTCATAACCAATACAAAAAATAAAAAATAGTGTAAGTTTATATTCTGAAAGAAAATATTTGTTAGGAATCTGTTTTAATTAGCAATAAGGGAGTACCATGAGCAGTCTAATCTAATCATAATAAGTTTTAATATCTTATAAAGCTTAGTTGATACCCATTAATTTTCCTTTACAGCAATAAGTAGCTTTTTTAGTATAACACAAGGATTTTGCAATATATAAAATCTAACTCTACAATGAAACAATGTATTCTCATCGAATTCTTTAAGGCTAACATTTCGTACATCGTTGACAATGATTAATATTCATAACAAACTAATAGAACATATTCATTGCACAAAATCCATAAGGCACTTTCTTACATATTATCTCATTAGATGCACAGAAGAGTTCTCCTGAGGTAGAAATGTTGGGTTTTAGAATGCAGAAAAGGAAACTCAGGTTGAATACAACTACTAAGTATAGATTCTGAATCTGTTTATGCTTACTGAGTCAAGGGCTCAGTCAACAATCCAGGGTGATGAGCTGAGATCAGATAGCCCAGGAATCAATTTGCTTTTATTTTGAGAAATTTTAATAGCATTTACTGGTTTGTCAACCAAAAGGACAAAACTCTCTCTTTCCTATTAAATTGGAAGAAATATACATAGAAAATAATCCAATTAGAATGATTAAATAGTGACCTGAAAGAAAAAATACATGTCCCTAAAAGACAAACTTATTACTAACTAAAATATCTCGATAGAGAATATAACATAGTCAATGCACAAAGACAAAGCACAGGGCAAAACTACAACTTTATATCACTCAATAATTTTTAGTTCATCATGAACTCAACTTACTTTCTGTTTTCCTGCTGTCAATCAGTTTATTTTCCAATTCTTCCAGCATACTATGTTCAATTCTGAAGTCACTTTTTTGGTTGTAGAAATGACTGTGTTTATCTTTTTCTATGTTAATAACTCTTTAGGAAAAGAAAGAAAGGTATGAATATGATTTAAATATATTTTTTAATTGTTTAAAATATGACAACCCTCATAATAATCAGTACTTTATATTTGGATTAATTCATCTAAGGAATAAAAATATAATTACTTAGGTTAGTAAAGCTAAGGAATCAAAATGTTAGTCCAAATAGTTAGAAAAGAGTTAAATTCAACTAAAATTAACTGTAATTTGAACTGTTATTTAAATTATAAAATGTTAATTTAAGAAAATGTGGATATACACTTGCTTTGAAAACATGTAAGTCTTTGGCTGTCAATTCCAACTCATTCTTACTGGTGCCTGAAAATGGCCCTCAGTGCTGATGACTGCTTTCAATAGTAGATATTGTTAACTTTGTAAACTTAACCAAGACATTTAACCTCTCCTGGTGTGAACCTCCTCATCACTAAAATGTGAATAATAACAGCTCTCCACCACCTAACAGGCCTGTCAGTAACATCGAATGAGATAATATATGTGAGAGGTCTTTGTATAGTACAAATATACTATGGAAATGCAAGTTATTAATATTATTATAAAACTAAAACTCCTAGAGGCAAACAATCTACAAAGATAAGAAATTTTGTATATGTAAGGGATATTGTTACATTTACTCCAAAGCTTCTTTCATCTCATTTTTCCTCCTTGGATTTTTGTTCCTAGTCCATCTACCAGTAAGCAGTTCTAATTGTTAGTTTGAGCCCTTGGATAAAACAAAACAAAAATACTACCATGGAACTTCTTGGGTTAAACAAAAAAATTAATTTTCTCAATGCTTGTTTTCTTTCTCTCAGAAGGTAGAAATTAACATGAATGTTTCTCCTTAATCTTGGATTTAATGAGTGGTATAGTGTCTCTGACTTCATTTCACACAACTTGAGGGGCAACTATCTAATGTATAGTTTCCCAACATTTTCACTTTCCCACACATGGAGAAAAATTTCACATTTACAATGCACACTGTGGTAAGCAGACAAGACTGCCCCAGGCCCTACCAGGCTTCCCCAGAAGCTGACAGGATCATATATTAGCACGTTTGTTTAGAAGCTTGTGTTGTTTGTAAGAGGAAGCAAGGGGTAGAACAGAGATATCAAATATTACAGTCTATGTGGCAACTCACGTGGATTGAGGGTGGCTACTGGAGTCCGGTGTTGAGGATTGGGAAGCCCATCTAAGCTCTGGTCAGGGGTGAGGGAAATTACTATAATCAAACAGAAATGTCTGCCATGGACACAAGTATGCTATGACAGTAAGTCAGTCACATGTTGCTATTCCTGGATTAGAAATACTAACCTATAAAGACATTAAAAATGTACTAAGGGAGACAAATTGCCAAACATATGAAAAGATGCTCAGCCTCACTCAAAACAGGAGAAATGCAAATTAAAATTATACCACAATAACACTATACACCTGTCAGGCTGGCCAAAAAAATCACAAATTTAAATAACATATTCTGTTGCTAAAATTGTGGGGAAACAGGTCCTCTCATACATTGTTGGTGGAATTGTAAATTGCCTATGAAGGGCCATTTAGCAATATTTATCACATTTGCAAATTCGTACACCTTTGACTGAGCATTGCTTCTAGGAATTTATCCTAAAGATACACTCACACATGTGCAAAACAATGTGAACCCATGCGGATACTGCAATTAATTGCAGCATTGTTTGTTACGATGAAAGATTGAATATAACCCAAATATGGGGTAGGTTAAATAAATTATGTTACATTTATAAACTGGAATATAATGCAACAGTACTGAGTTCTATGTACTAAAAGGGAAAGCTCTCTAAGGTAACACTCTTCATAACAGTTTTTGTATGAAAATGTCAGACATAGCCAAAAATAGAGAATGGTAAATTAAGTCCCCTCATACACCCTCATATGATATGTCCTTCAAATCACTCTGATTCAACAATTTTACTTGTTTCGTCTATCCTTCCTTTTCTTTGCTTAAGTATTTTAAAGTAAATCCACTACATTATCCAATTTTACTGCAATATACTTCCATGTGCATCTCTAGAGATGATAGATATTTGACTTACATACTACAGTGCCATTATCATACCTGACAAAATCAACAGCTCCTTGGTGTCTAAGATACACTCAAATTAAAAAAAAAAAAAGAATAAAATGCAAAGCAGTGTGTATAGTATGCTACCAATTGTATAAAAAAATCTGAATATACATGTATTCCTATTTCCTTATAAACACCTAAAGTATCTACAGAAGGCTATACAAGAAACTAATACTAGCAGTTATCTAAGGAGAGGGGAACTGTGTGGCTGAAGTTAAGGGTGAAACTGAGATCTTCCGCTGGGTAATTTTTGATATGTTTTGATTTTTGAACCATGTGCATGTATTACCTATTCTAAAAATAAAACAGAATATTATAAATTGTGTTATTTCCTTTGTGTTCAATGAGAATTTGGGGGTAAAAACACTCTTTCGATGGGTTTTTCTAATATTCTTTCAAAGAGTTTTTCCAACACCTTATAACAGATGAAGAAAGTCTAATCAGAATTGTAAAACAAACATGGGGGTTTGTTTATCCCATCTAGGGAGAAACAAAAACCAGAATCCCTAAGCTAGAGTCTAAGAGTCCTAGAGTCTAGGGTAATGTACTTTGAAATTTAAAAAAATTATATTTTAGGGACGGCCCGTGGCTGGCTTGGGAGAGTGTGGTGCTGATAACATCAAGGCCATGGGTTCGGATCCCTTTATAGGCATGGCCAGTTAGTTCACTTGGCAGAGCGTGGTGCTGACAACACCAAGTCAAGGGTTAAGATCCCCTTACTGGTCACCTTTTTAGAAAAAAATTTTTTTAAAAAATTAAATAAAAATTAAAAAATTATATTTTCTAATTCTGGATATTAAAGTTACAAGTATTGGGCCGGCCCGTGGCTCACTCGGGAGAGTGCAGTGCTGATAACACCAAGGCCCCGGGTTCGGATCCCATATAGGGATGGCCGGGTAACTCACTGCGGAGAGCATGGTGCTGACAACACCAAGTCAAGGGTTAAGATCCCCTTACCGGTCATCTTTTAAAAAAAAAAAAAAATAAAGTTACAAGTATTGGGCCGGCCCGTGGCTCACTCGGGAGAGTGCAGTGCTGATAACACCAAGGCCCCGGGTTCGGATCCCATATAGGGATGGCCGGGTAACTCACTGCGGAGAGCATGGTGCTGACAACACCAAGTCAAGGGTTAAGATCCCCTTACCGGTCATCTTTTAAAAAAAAAAAAAAAAAAAAAAAAAAAAATAAAGTTACAAGTATTAGCAAGTTTTAAGTATACAATACATTATTATTAACTATAGTTAGCATGCTGTACATTGTGTCCAGAACTTGTCTACCTTTAACTTATTACTTGTACCCTTTGACCAGCATCTACCATTACCCACCCCAGCCCTGCCACAAAATTCAAACAGTATTCTTTTTCTTTTTCATTGGTAGAATTTCTAAACAGAGAACTGCTACTAATTCTGGTCCAGAGACTTTCTCACAACAGGTTCCTTTTCTCTCGTGTTCTTTGGCAAATTGACACTGTGCAAATTCAAAGTAGTGTTATATATAAAGCTATCAACTTGTAGGGTAGAATGGGGGTACTTTGAGTTCCAATTCTTTTTATCTTTCCTTATATTTTTCATATCATGGTGCTGCTGACAATGTTCAATATTCAACAAATATCACTGGTTGTTTAAAGAAAAAACGTGTATACACTAAAAATTTAAAATAAATGTAAACTTCTCAATGAGCCTCATCATAATGTACAGAATGGATCTGAGAGGGGCAGAAACCAAGGGATGGAGACCAATTAAAAGACCATTTCAAGGGGCCGGCCCGTGGCTCACTCGGAAGAGTGCAGTGCTGATAACACCAAGGCCACAGGTTCGGATCCCATATAGGGATGGCCGGTTTGCTCACTGGCTGAGCGTGGTGCTGACAACACCAAGTCAAGGGTTAAGATCTCCTTACCGGTCATCTTTAAAAAAAAAAAGACCATTTCAAAAAAAATAACAGGGGCCGGCCTGTGGCTCACTCGGGAGAGTGCGGTGCTGATAACACCAAGGCCACAGGTTCGGATCCCATATAGGGATGGCCGGTTTGCTCACTGGCTGAGCGTGGTGCTGACAACACCAAGTCAAGGGTTAAGATCCACTTACTGGTCATCTTTAAAAAAAAAAAAAAAAAAAACACATGGGTACAGACTTTTCATTAAAACTATTTACTGCTTTCCTCAGTCAGATCATACCCATGTACTCAAACAGGCTTTGAATAGCACTGGTTACTAAGAAAAACAATGGCTTTCAGAGTTGCTGGAGCCAACCTATGAGTCCCTAAATCAACCAAAATCGTATAACCTATGGAAAGATATTTAACCTCTATGATCTTCAACATTCTCATTTGTAAAATAGGAAGAATAGCAATTTAAGTACATGATGTTCATTTATAAAGCGCTTTCATACATACATTTAAAAAAAAAAACAAAAAAAACTATTCACTCAATATATCTACCAAGTGCTTACCTGTAGGTGTAAAATGAAAATGCACCCAATCTGCTATTTGATATACAAAATCTAAAGAAATTCTTGTTTCCCTTGAAATACACTGATTCAAATTGGTAAAAGTAAATAAAATTGAAATAACTCTACTTACAATTAACTTTATATTAAATGAGTTATTATCATTTGTCCACTTCATACCTCCCTCCCACCTTTCTCATGTATACTAGACAGGCTAGTGATCAGAATTTTGTAATTTGCTATGGGATTGTGTAGAGTAGGGTAAAGTTAATTTTATATTGTCCATTATAAAATGGCTAGTAATGTTACTTGAAAATAATATTCTTATACTTACTGAGTTTTAAATTTTTCTGCTGTGCGTATGAATTCTGCTTTCTTAGTCCGACTAACTTTTTGCTTCCAGTTTTGAAGATGAAAAGGACGAATTCCACCTGTAGCACTAAAACAGCCATCATTCTGCACAGAGAACCAAAAATTTACCATCACTAATGAAAATGGTAAAAGATGAATGTGAAATTTTTTACCAGCAAGATGAAACATAAATAGTGAAGTTTCTCAGGGGATAATTTTGGGGCCAATCTTTCTTAATTTTTAAGAGTACATTTTGTGGAAGAAGGAATATCTCTCAAAATACTAAATTAAGTAATAAATGTTAAGTATTCAGGGATTATTTATGAAAAGATCTAATTCATTCAGCCAGTCATTTAACAAATATGTATTGAACACTATGATGTGACAGGTGCTGCATTAGACACTAGGGAAACAATGATGATCCACACTAATATGGCCCCTGCCTTAAAGTCTAGTGAGGTAAAACAGATTTAAAGAGAAAAGAGTAAACAAACAATAAAAACAAACACACATAAAACCCACCGTGATATGTGCTGTCAAGGAAATAAAGTGCTGAGATGGAGATAATGGGGCAAGCGCTTGCTTTTTTCAGTTAGAATGGCCTATTTGAGGGAGTGACATTAAGAAAGAATGGAGCCAGCCTTGCCAGACCAGTAGGGAAGGGTGTTCCAGGCAGAGGTACCAGCATGTGCAAAGCCCTAGGGCAGGAAAGACTGGCTACTTCATGCAGAGAAAGGGCAACTGTAACATGACATTAGTAAACGTAGGGAGCTTGGCAGATTTAAGTAGAGATGTAAGTACAAGCCAAATCACACAAACATTTTAGGTCACCTAGGGGGTCTGGATTTTACTGAAGGGTTATGAGCAAGGGAATGTCATGATACATTTAATTCTTTAAGGAAAGTTTTCTGGCTATTTTTTGGAGAACAAGTTGGTGAGAGGTGTGGGAATGAAATGAGGCAAGACTGGAAGCCAGAGGATCGGTAAGTGCAGCAATACAGGCAATGACTGATAGTGTCCAGGTCTACTGAGATGATGGAAATTAAAAGAAGTAAAAAGACTAAATATATTTTGCAGGTTTAATCAGAGGAATTGCTAAGCAATAGGATGTGAAAGATGGGGGAAAAAGGAAACAACGCTTTAAATTTCTAGGAGCAAGCAAGAATAAGGTAATAAATTTAGGAAATATTTTAAAAGTTGAGATATAATTCACATATCATAAAATGTATCTGTATAAAGTATCCAATTCAGTGTTTTTTATTATATTCACAAGTTGTATGACCATCATTATTATCTAGTGTCAGAATATTTTCATCATGCCAGAAAGAAACCTTGTAGTCACTTAGTAGTAGTCACTTAATCATCCTGTAGTCATTAGTAGTCACTTCCTATCCCCCTTCCTCCTAGCAATCATTAATCTATTTTCTGACTCTATGAATATGCCTATTCTGGACAATTCATATTAACTGGCTCATACAACATGTAGCTTTTCCTGTCTGGCTTCTTTCACTTAGCATGTTTTCAAGATTCATCCATGTTCCACCATGAATCTGTACTTCATTCCTTTTTACAACTAATATTCCGTAATACAGATCTACATTTTGCTTATCCACTCATCAGTCATCAGCTGATGGACAACTGAGTTGTTTCCACTATTTGGCCAATATGAATAACACTACCACGAACACATGTGTACAAGTTTTAGTGTGAATATATTTTCAATTCCACCTAGCAGTGCATTTCTGGGTCATAAGATAACTCTATTTTTTACTTTCCTATTTTAAAAACTGGATTGCCCTTTTGTTGTTGAGTTGGAAACATTCTTTATATATTCTAGATATATCCCTTATCAGATATATAATTTGCAAATATTCCCCCCATCCTCTGAGTAGTCTTTTCACTTTCTTGATAATGCCATCGAAGAACAAAAGTTTTTAACATCTTGAGGAATTGCCAAACTGTTTTCCACAGTGGCTGCACCATTTCACATTCCCATGAGCAATTCATGGGGGTTCCAATTTCTCCACACCTTCACCAATGCTTGTTATTGTCTTTTTCATTATAGCCATTTTAATGGATATAAAGGGTATCTCACAGTGGTTTTGATTAGTTCATAATGACTAATGAAATTGAGCATCTTTTCATATGCTTATTGGTCACTTCTTTTGAGGAAAGTCTACTTAAATCCTTTCCCATTTTTAAAATTGGGTTATTTGCCTTTTTACTGTTCAGTTGTAAGAGTTATTTATATATGTTAAACAATTTTTATGGGAGACCATTGTTTTGGACTGAGCTCTTGCACTAGGCCCCAACAAATCAGACCAAACCAAAATGGAGTCACTCATACTAAATGCCACATAATCAAACTAATTTTAAGGAAGCAGGTAGACCCCCCAAACTGACCAGTTTTTCCTGAAAACAGGAGATTCTTGGCAACCAGTCAGAAGTGGCCCAGTCAACCTGAGTCAGCATAATTCCTCTCTGCTTTAACCATTATGAGAAAAGTAATCTGAAGTAACCCAATGTTAACCCATTTGCTTTTTTCCATTTTTCCATTTTCTTGTTCCCATCTTACAAAACCCACTGTTCTGTCATGCCTTGTGGGAGCTCTCATTCTATTTTATAGAGCAGGATGCTGCTCCAATTCATGAACTGCAAGTAAGAAAGAGCCAATAAGATCTTTAAACTAAATTTGTTGTAATTTTGCTTTTTAACATATATTTTAGATATAAGACCCTTATCAATATATGACTTGCAAACATTTTTCTCCCATTTTGACTTGTCTTTCACTTTCTTGATAATGTTATTTGAAGCACAAAAGGTTTTTATTTTGATGGAGTCCAATCTATCTATTTGATCTTTGGTTGCTTGTGCTTTAGGTGTCATATAGAAGAAACTATTGCCTAATCAAAGGTCATGAAGGCTCACACCTATGTTTTCTTCTAAGAGTTTTATCTTACATTTAGGTATGATCCATTCTGAGTAAATTTTTATAAAAGGTGTGAGTTAGGAATTCAACTTATGTATGTTAATATCCAATTGTCCCAACATCATTTGTTAAAAACACCATACTTTTCTATTTGAACAGTCTTAGCGTCCTTGTTGAAAATTAATTGCCCATAAATATAGGTTTATTTCTTGACTCTTACTGACCTATATGTCTATCATTATACCAGTACCACACTGTTTGATTACTGTAGCTTTAATGTAAGATTTGAAACTAAGAAGTATGAGCTCTCCAACTTTGCTCGTCTTTTTCAAGATTTTTGCATAATGACTATTTTGGATAACTTGCACTTTCCATATGAATTTTAGAATTAGCTTGTAAATTTCTGCAAGAAAAAAAGGCAACTAAGATTTTTATAGGAATTGCACTGAATCTGTAAAGCACTGTGGGGAATATTGCAACCTTAACAAATATTAAGTCTTCAAATTCATAAACATGAAATATCCATTTATGCAGGTCTCCATTAATTTCTTTCAATATGTTTTGTACTCCTTTTATTAAATTCATTATTATGTATTTTATGCTTTGTGATACCACATTGTAAATGACATTATTTTCTTAATTTCATTTTTGAGCTATCCATTGCTAGTGCATAGAAATACAATTGATTTTTGTATATTGATCTTGTATCTTGCAACCTTGCTGAACATTTTTATAAGTTCTAATAATTTTTTTGTGAATTCCTTAGGATTTTTATATACAAGATCATGGCATCTGTGAATAGGAATCATTTTACTTCTTCCTTTCCAATATGAATGCTTTTTATTTGCTCTTCTTGCCTAACCGCTCTGCCTAGAATCTCCAGTGAATAAAGTGGTAAGAGTGGATGATCTTGTTCCTGATCTTATGGGAAAATCTTTCCATCTTTCATCATTAAGCAATATGTTAGCTGTAGGTGTTTCACTGATGACTTTTTTGGGTTGAGAAAATTCCATTCTATTGCTAGTTTGTTGACTGTGTTTATCAAAAAGGGTGCTGGATTTTGTCAATTGCTTTTTTTTGCTTCTACTGAAATGGTCATGAGGTTTTTGTCCTTTATTCTACTAATATGTTGTGTTATATTGATTTTCATATATTGAACCAACTTCGCATGTCTGAAATAAATCCCAATTTATCATGGTGTATAATCCTTTCCATATGTTGTTAGATTTGTTTTGCCAGTATTTTGTTGAGGATTCTTTCATCTGTATCCTAACAGTCTATAGTTTTCCTTCTTGTGATGATGTTGCCTGATTTTGGTATCGAGGTAATAATGGCATCATAGAATGAGAAATGTTTCTTCCTCCTTTATTTTCTGAAAAAAAAATTTGTTACAAAAAATACATTTTGCAGATTTTTATATTTACCTTTATCAGTACTCCTTATTCATGTGGATTCAAGTTACTGTCTAGTGGCTTTTTATTTCTTCTTGTAGGACTTCCCTTACTATTTCTTGTAGGGCAGATAATATGGTGACAAATTTTTTTGGTTTGTGTTTATCTGAGTATGTTTTAAATTCTTCATTCTTTGGGCCAGCCCGTGGCTCACTCGGTAGAGTGCGGTGCTGATAACACTAAGGCCACGGGTTCGGATCCCATATAGGGATGGCCGGTTAGCTCACTGGGTGAGCGTGGTGCTGACAAAGACAAGTCAAGGGTTAAGATCCCCTTACCGGTCATCTTTTAAAAATAAAAAAAAAATTAAAAAATAAATAAATAAATAAATAAATTCTTTATTCTTTGAGAATAATTTTGCTGGACAAAGAATTATTGGTTGACAATCCTTTTCTTTCATCACTTTGACTATGTCATCCCCCTGCCTTTTGGTGTCCATGATTTCTGATGAGAAATCAGCTGTTAATCTTACTGAGAATCCCTTGCATGAGATGAATTGCTTTTCTCTTGGTGCTTTCAAGATTTTCTTTTTATCTATGCAATTTGACAATTTCATTGTGATGTGTTTAGGTATGGATTACTTTGAATTTATTCTACTTGGAATTCACTGAGCTCCAACAATGTATAGGTTAATATTTTTCATCAAATTTGGGAAGTTTTCTACCATTATTTCTTTAAGTGTTCATTTTTTTCTGTCCCTTTCTCTATCTTCTCCTTCTGGGACT